TCCGGGGCTCAACTGGTTCCTCTTCAAGTGGTACATGATCATCCGCTGGGGCCCGACCTTCGTGCCCTGGGCCATCGAGCAGATCGGCTGCGCGCCCATGCGGCTGCTGGTCTACTTCATGGGCGGGCTCATGGGGCCCGACACGTGGAAGCGGCTCTAGCTAGAGGCTTAAGTCGGGCGAGTCGCGCCCGGCGAGGTAGGTGTAGAGGCTCGCGCCAGAGGGTTCCCGGGCGTAGCGCGGCATGCGCGCCGGCGACGCGAGGAACGCGGCGATCTGCGGCCGCGCGGCGACGCGGTCCGCGAACGCGCGCAGCAGGGGCAGGCCGAACTTGTCGGCCCAGTCGGGGCAGATGTCGTCCTCGCCGAGCTCGTAGAGGATGTAGAAGAGGCCCAGGTCCACGACCGTCGGCGCGTCGGCGACGAGGAAGCCCGTGCCGGCGTCCGCCAGCGTCTTCTCGAAAAAGTCCAGCGCCACGAGGCTCCGCTCGGCCTTGGAGAGCGTGTTCTGGCGGAAGACCGCGCCGTAGGGCGGCCGCGCTAACTCACCCACGTCCTCGACGGCCTTGAGCGCCGCGCAGGAGAAGTGCTCGCCGTCGTGCGACACGCCGTTGTTTCGAAGCGTCGCGAACCAGAAGCAGTACAGGGAGTCGACCGTGGCCTCCTCCTCGGGCGTGCGCCCGGCGAGGCCGAGCTTGCGCGCGAGGAAGCGCGTGATGGCGCCCTCCTGGCCGAGGTCCGCGCCGCGGCCGTCGTAGTCGCGGAGCACCGGCAGCTTCCCGTGCGGCGTCGTCGCCTTGACGCCGCCGTCGCGCCAGGCCCTGAAGCCTACTATTTCCAGCTCGTAGGGCACCTGGGCCTCCTCGAGCATGAGCCGCAGGATCTCGCCGCGGTTCCGGCAGGGCATGTAGGCCAGGCGGAAGGCCGGGGGACCCGGCGGTCCGCGCGTGATGAGCGCGTGGACGCTCGTCTCGAAGAGGTCGCGCTCCTGCCAGAGGGAGTGCGCGACGGTCTTGGCGTCCAGCACTTGCGGCGGCGCGAGCGACCACGCGAGCGCCGGCAGCAGCGCGTAGCATCGGAGAGCGCGCATCATCTCTCGCAACTGGCAGATTCCGTGCGGCGTCGTCGCCTTGTGGCGACGCCCGGCGAGTGGACGGAGTCGTCGGCGATCGTCACCCCGTCGACCGCAACTCGTGCCTCCGGCCTCCTCGCTCGTCGAGCGCGCCCCCCCGCTTCAGCAGCTTGCACGCCCGTGGCCCCCGAGGCCCACCAGCGCCACATTTACGATGACCATGACGCCGAAGCAGTACCAGAAGTTCCAGAAGCTCTACGCCGGGAAGTGCCACGACGACAGCGACGACTCCGACTCCGACGACGACGACGACGACTCCGACGACGACGAGGATGAGGACGACGACGACTCCGACGACGAGGATTGCCATAACGGCGAGGGCAGCAAGAACGGCCCGTACAAAACCGGGCGTTCGCCACCAGACGCGGCTCCTGACGGAGGCCGAGATCGCGGAGATGCCCGGCCTGATCGAAGTCGAGATCCACGAGAAGACCACGTGGTACAGCGCGAAGCGCGGCGCCGGCTCCGAGAACTTCAACCCCGCGATGGTGTCGAAGCTGGCGGAGGTGCTGGGGAAGACGCGCATCGGCATGATGTACGACGCGGACCTCTTCGGAGCTCTCGAAATCGTCGGAGGGCTCGCGAGGGACGCGAACATGGGCAACAGATCTATTCACAAGCAGAACAATCGCCGTGGCTTCCAGTTCCTCGGCCACGGCCTGGAGGATTTCGGCTACAACCACGCGTCGATGAATCGGGTGGCACCGGAGGCGCTCGGCGTGATCGTCGCGTACGCGGCGCGCGCGGCCGACGGCGCGGAGCCGCTGAACCTGCGCTGCCACGCCAACGGCCCCACGGTCAACGGCGCGGACGCCCTCGGGGGGCACGTCGACGCCGAGCGCTGGCGAAAGAAGAAGCCGGAGAAGAAGGGCCTTCAGGTGCGCGTCATGTGGGGCACGGCGCCCGTCGTGTTGCACTACTACGTGATGGCCGTCACGGACAAGGGCAAGATGGTCGAGTCCATGGGCGTCTTCGCGTCGATCTTCGTGGACGTGCAGGCCTACGAGATGTACTTTCTCTGGGACTTGGCCGCGGGCCAGCGCTTCTTGGGATTCACGCGGGACATCTGCTTCGAAGATGGCGAGGACGAGTGGGTGTTCGTCGACGTCAAGAACTTCGCGCTCATGATCTTTCACCGTGTATGCGGCATCAACTACTGGCGGTTCGTGACAATCCTCACGTGGCTCGCGGAGTCGCGCGCGTCGATCGAAGAGGAGCGAGAGCGCCTGCGGAACTGGGTCGCGACCTTCCCGCAGGACCCGAACGCGCTGCCGCCGTGCACGCTCGTCGCGCCGACGCCGGAGGAGCTGCACCAGTTCATGCTCGCGCGGCGCCGGGACTCGTACGTCCAGGGCATCGAGCACGTGAGACGGCGGTACTGGGCGAACGTGGAGAAGAACCGCGCCGCCATGAGACTGAAACTGCGCATGGAGCGAGGTGGCCTCGCGCCCTTCCAAGGAGACTGGACCACTGGCGCGCCGTGTGGAACTCAAGGCCCGGGAGTCCAGACGGTGGCGCAGGCGCAGGTCGCCGATTATTTGTCCGGTATGAGAGCGCGCCGCATTACGACCCTCGCGGACCTCTCAGACCAGCGCTTCAATACGCTCATCCGGCTCTGGGCGGACGCGTACGGGCCCCTTGTTCCTCTCCCCCTTCATTGGTAAGTCGTCCGACAGTCAGCCCCGCTCCCTCGACTCGTTTGCCCCCCCCCGCGCGGCTGCCTCCCGACGAGTCCTCGACGACGTCGTTCCAGGCGCAGCCGTCCTCCTCGAACGTCGTGCCTGACGGGTCGGGCGGCGACACGCGGCGACGTGGACGGGCCCGACGGCGGGCTCGCGGCGGCCGGCCGGCGATGTTGCAGTTCAAGTACTTTAGTTGAAGCTCGCGACGACGCGTACATGGCTCCCCCCGACCGGGAACGACCAGCGTCCTAATCGGCGAGGTTACGACCGCAGCCCCTACCGTTTCAGGCAGCGCTGGCTCGTGAGGAACTGGACGTAGGTCGGGTTGTGCGTCTCCTCGGTGTAGCGGTAGCCGAGCTTCTCGAGGAAGTCGTTGAGCTTGCGCTCCGCCCGGTCCGTCGTCGCCTGGACGCCGACGAGCACGCGGCCGAAGTCGTGGCCGTAGTTGCGGTAGTGGAAGAGGCTGCAGTTGAACGCGTCCGTCTCAAAGTGCGCGAGGAAGTTCTTGAGCGCGCCCGGCGCCTCGGGGAACTCGAAGCGGAAGATGCGCTCGTCGCCGACGAACTCGGAGCGCCCGCCGTTCAGGTGGCGCAGGTGCGTGTTGACGAGCTCGTCGTCCGTGATGTCGCGCGGCGCGTAGCCGTGCGCCGCGAGGCGGTCCATGAATTGGTCCGTCTGCGGCTGGAACGCGACGATGACGTCCGCCGGCGCGTCGGCGCGGTGGTAGCGGTAGGAGAACTCCGTGACGTTGCAGGGGTAGATCAAACCGTAGAACTTCTGGAACGCGCCGGGCGATTCGGGCATCGTGCACGCGAGCCG